CTGGATGCGAACAATGTCAACGACACAAACGTCCCACGGCTACGCCGCCAGGACTTCTCCATCCTGTTCCACCTCCTAACTCTCCCTTCGAGACTGTTGGTGTCGATCTGCTCGGTCCATTTCCACGATCGAGCAGTAACAATCGATGGGTCGTCGTCTGTGTTGACCACCTAACGCGCTACGCAGAAACTGCTGCAATACCTGCTGCAACGGCCAGGCACGTGTCGCAGTTTATGCTTCGCTGTATAATTCTCCGCCATGGTCTTCCACGCGTTGTCATTAGCGACGACGGACGTCAGTTCGTTGCCGACGTCGTTGAAGAGATCCTGCGTCTGTCTGCCTGCCATTTCCGCCATGCCACACCATATCACCCGCACACCAATGGTCTCGTAGAGCGCACGAACCGGACTCTCACGAACATGCTGTCTATTTATGTCGATTCTAAGCACAAAAACTGGGACGAAGTGCTACCTTACATCACTTACGCGTACAATACCGCGAAGCATGAGACTACAGGTTACTCTCCATTTTACCTGCTGTACGCTCGCTCCCCACGATTTTGTCTCGACACTATGCTACCTTTTACACTAGACGTGGAAACATCGACAGCCGAGACGCTCTGCCGCGCAGAAGAAGCACGTCGCATCGCACGCCTCCGAACCTTGGCATCCCAGCAGCGTTCTAAGAAACGTTACGACGCCTGCCATCGCTCCGTATCTTATAGTAAGGGCGATCTTGTGTGGTTATGGACACCAGTCCGCAAACGTTGTTTGTGCCAGAAGTTCTTGGCTCACTATTCCAGTCCATTCGTCATTCTTGACCGCCTCAGCGACGTCATGTACGTAATTTCGAGCGTCACAAGCAATAGTCGCCGCTCTAGCAAAACACAACTGACACACGTTGCGCGCCTTAAACCGTGCCACCATCAACCTTCTGAGTGACTCGCCCAGAGGGCATCGTCTGCGAACCGAGAAACGCGCTAGCGAAGATTCGACGAAGAGGAGGAAGAGACTCGACTGGCTCGCGAGCGACGCTGTGGATCCTTCGCTGAGCTACACCTCTGCGTTACCCATCTTGTAAATAAACGCGTTCCATCGTCGCAATATTTTAAGAGAGAACGAATCGTTTTGAGCGCGCGTGCAACGGCCGTCACTTCTTCGTTTTTTCTCGCCTTTGACGTAAATTCTATATTCAATAATTTACAATCATACTTCGAAGATATTTATAATTAGAATAAAAAAGCGTTTTTAATAAACAGAACGCTGATTTTCTTCATTTGGAAGGTGTCTACAACGCGTTAAGAAAAACGCCAGGCCTACGTGGACGGGGCAGACAAGACACAACGCAAGCAAGAAGAGCGGCCTTTCAGAGGTTTTTCTAAGCACTCTTTGGGTAAATGCTATAAACACACTTGCTGGGTACCCAATACATCATAAAAATCATTATTTCTGCGTTGTAGGCCGGCATTCACCGTGCTATATATCCTTCGTCTTTCTTCAGAGAAGCGTGGTATCCGCTAAACACTTGTAAAAATTTTTGTGTTGCATCCAGTGGCTAACGACGCCTGAAGTAGGTATGCGCCACAGTTAATAGGTGATTATGAACAAGCTTTTGTATTTTGTTGTAGCATAGGATGACCCACTCGTTATGCGATTAGCAATGTTTGACGCCTGGTTGGTTCTTTGCTGTTCTAAAACGCCTTATTAAAGATATTACCATGATTCCTTTCCCTAAAATCAAGCCTGCATAAGGCAAGTTTGTGAGCGTGGCACAGTGGTAGAATACTGGGCTTACACAGAGCAGATCCGGATTCGAATCTCGCTATGGCACTATATGTCTTTGGTGTTTCTTATTGTGTGCGATAGTGGTTACGGACACCGGCGGCGGCGGCGGTCAACTACGGCGCTGCGCGTGACCCCTGTTGTGATCTCATGACAGTTTTCGCTGTTAAAACGAGAACAAATGGACGTCAATACTAAAAAAACGATGCCGCCACAAAAGCGTCATAAATCGCTTTATGCAGCCGCAAGGTTTATTTGCGCAAGCGGTGCAGTCTTATGAGTCTGTATCTAATTTTGCACGCATTGTGAAGAAGATCGAACGTTGCACGTTTGGCAAGAGTGCGTTGCACAAGGGCTTGATGTCAGTGCTAAATGCATCATCCTTAAGCGTATGCACGGGTGTAATGTATGAAGTTTACAAAGCGCACTCGATAGCGACGTCATTGGCAGGAAAGCGAGATTTTTATAGTATATAGATTGGAAACTGGACAATCAATGCATAATAAGCTGCCCTACCACGTCATCCTCATCCCTATTTCAAGTGCAGATGACTTGAAGGGGCCGGGCTGTTACATGTTCTTATACGTTGGGATTGTTTGCTGTCGCGGTTACTCGTCGTAACGCAGGCAGGCTCTGTAGCGCTCGTTCGCCCCTAGAAGTATTCTTCCTCCTCGTCTTAGGGTGCCTTGAAGATGATATTAGCGCTTGTTTTCTTTCGCTTGTTCTTATAGAGCTTTGTTCATAATATCAGCACAGTCGAAGCCCCATATAGACAACTGTAACACATTTAGCGGGCGCTCGCCCCAAATAGAAAGTTCATTCCTGTTGTTCTACCAGCTTCTTGGTGGTACTACTATGGCTAGAATAACACAACACAAACCACGCATAAGAACTGAAAGATGACGCAAGTGACAAATAGAGAGAGAGAAAGGAAGAATAAACATAGTAATAAAATTAACATAAACCGAAATAAAGAGAAAAAATTGGCCCCGGATCTGAATGTTACACTGCAAATGTCCTCGAAAGACGATAGTCTTGCAGCCAGAGAGAAGGAACAAATGATTTATTTGATGTTACGCACTAGAAAATCAGTGAATGGTATTCTGGAGGCGCTGCGTTGGCATGCCTCGAGCATGCAGCGGAGACGAACGCGCGCATCGAGGCATGGTATACACGAGCGCCATCTGGCATTTATCTTTGAAAACGAAAGAAGGGTTGCGCGCCTGCGGAGAAAGATGCGTGCCATTCTCGGAGGTGATAAGCTGTGGAACGCGAAGCGACGAACAGGTGCCACCACCGTGTCGTTTTAGCAAATCGTTGGTAACTCTTGCCTTTTTGAGCATCGCAATGCACTGCCAGCGCAGCGTGTTTAATGCTATGGTCTTTAGATTTACTTCTGTGTGCCTTCTCTAGTATAAAGGCACACATACAAAACATTGACGTGTTGTTTTATGGTACCTCAAATATGCGCTATGATTGCTTTTATTTGACAATCGCATATGTATGAACGCTAAACCTCGAGCATTACTGGTGGGCGCTGTGGATAGGATCGGCCGTTTGAGGTATCGTTAAGAGCGAAGAAACAAACAAATGTACAGACAGACCGACAGACAGACAGACCCAAATTTTTTCGTCAAAGGTCTCCAAGAAAGACTATCGTCTTTAAAAACAGCAAAGTAAGAACAGGAATAGAGAAGGGGAGAGAAAGAGATAACCAAGAAATGTAAAGGAGGCTGCCCGGATCTGGACTTCCTTCACACATTGGCACCACTAAGCCCAAGCTGTCTTGGCATTTAGAGCTCCAGCTGATAAACGCCTATATTCCTACGAGTGGCGTCATCATCGTCGTTGACATCGGTGGCGTAACCAGTAAAAGTGACAGCATAAAACTGAGAAAGAACGCCGATCGAATCAGATTTGAATCCATGCCCTCTGAGTGACAGTCGAGCATTTTTTCACACAGCCACGCTAGTGCTCAAAACTAATTTTCAAGAAGACCCTATACAGGCGTCATGTCGGACAAGGAATTGCGTTAACTTATGTATTTTGGCGTGGTATAGAAGACTAAACTAGTGACCAATCATGCCACAAACCTAACTGGTCATTGCGTGGGTGGTTTATTGCTTCCAGCCTACTGCAAAGTGCTCAGCCCTAATCTTAGTTGTCATCAACCACATAAAGCACCAAAAAAGTGCAAAATATGTAGGTGGTACATCGATAATCTGAAAATTTTCGAAAAGCCAAAACTTCAAACTAAATGGGGTTTATCGAAGCATCATACTGCGCTCAGAATTGACATAAGGTATAAGCGTAGTTATGGAATTTTTTTCCTATTTTGGGGGGTGGGGAGAGCACGGTATCTAAGCAAAGGTAGCATTTTTTACCACAATGTCGTTCGAGCCATCTACACAGTGTTTTATTATTGATAAATCAATAAAACCGACATGAAGATGACATTTGCTTGAGAATGATGTCTCAGCTATTCTCTCCGACAGAAGAATAACAAGGCATATTGTGCTAGAGTTTCTGTTGAACGATGACGTATATAGGCATCTTATAAGGCTACCATAGCTGTTTGCATCTACCACTAGGGTTCCCAGAACTCACCCATCGCTTCGCATATTTAGAGGAATGCGTGACAATGAGAAGTGGTACTAATAATATTCGCCTGAATGTATGAGTGCAAAATACATTACACCGAAGAAGCTTTGCCAGAACCAATGCTTACTGGCAGCCTACATGCACAACCGCTCACAGGGACAACAGCGTTGTGCTCGGCTGGCAAACTTCTGATATGCATGCATCATATGACAGGTGCAGTTGTGGGGGTGAAATATTACCAGTTTTCGTAGACGCGTAATAGATCTGAAGCATTTAGAGACTTCTTTGTGAAGCTTAATTAAGATATATTTAAATGATAGATAATTCGGTTTAATTAATGCATATTTGTACACAGCCCACTAAAATAGGCGAAGTAAATGAAGACACCTTTTTCGTACAGAAGCGATAATTGTCAGCTGTGTCGCATGCCTTGTCTAACTGTATGGCGGCGCGCCTGGCTCGGCGAGGTCCACAGAGGCGTATTATCTTCCAGTGTGTCGCAGCTTGTTAACTCACTTAGCGCCGACCACATAAAATCACAATTTTATCTCTGGTATAGAAAGCACTTCCAAGAGAATGCAAGTTCTTTCTAAAGTAAAGTGAACAACGACGCAGAAGTAGCATGCTTAGTTTAGATAATTTATTTCAAAAGCAACCTTCAAATACTTGACTGCAATAGGTGGAACCCTAATATCTTTCAGATGACGTTTTTCAGCGGGAACAAATGGCCTGGAGTGATGCTTGCGTTGTGGCTATTAGCGGTACAGTTGAGCTTTTCATTACCAGTTGAACTCAACACATTTCACAGCACTGCGGCCAAACTCCGGTAAAAGGAGGCGCGCCGGGATGGGGGTTCCTTCCATGCTCTTGTGGACACCTGCATTCAAACAGTTGTTTTTTTTAGAACCAACGACATCGCATCTGGAAAGCATTAGCTGGTTCAACATTCATCTTAGTATATTCAGGTAAATGATGATATACTATTGGTTCTGCCAAATAATGATTGGTGTTATGGGAATATGAACATTTCTCAACGATGTAGTGTGTGTAAATAAAACACCAACAGAATCAAGCATAGTCAGTTATTCCCGCTTTTCATTAACTTTTGGGGAAAGTAGGGGCTTGAGCATACAAGAACAAATTAATGTGACAGTGACAGGACAATTTTGTCATCAAGATGCGTGTTTACTAAACTTTGCTGAAAATGAGTAGATATAGGTGGTTCGGTTGCAAAATTAAGAGCACTCTGCTTTAGTAAATCACGTGGACTTGGCTATATTACGAACATGCTGAGCTTTGTTGGCGTCTTTTCCAATAATTGTTTGTTTCTTTCTCGTTTTTGATAATTTACTGTTGCACTGTGTTCAATTTAAAAGATAATCAAGGTTCGTACTTACAGCTTCATCCTTCTATTTCACCAACACCACTGGTGGTTCAGTAGCAATTTCGAAAAGACATATAAAGTCGCCGCGCAACATTTCACCAACCTGCTGTTTTAATGTAACAGTGTCTTGCTCCTGGCATCATTGTTGCAAGCTTGCGATATCTCTTAATTGCTATCTGGTGAACCTAGTTCACATGTCAACTTGCTCTCTTATACGACCTTCGTTTTGAGCATTGACAGCGACAAAATGACCATGCCAGTTCTTTCACCTTCCGAGGCACGAGATCTCCACCCTCTCTTCACATCCTATGCAGATATATTCTATATTTTGACAACCATCCACCCATCAGGCCAGAAAGCGGTTGTGACCCACCACATCAACACCGGCGATGCCAACCGAATTCAATGACACCCTCACTGTGTATCGCTGCCGAATGCGCTGTCTCCCATAAAGAATTCGAAATGATGCTCGCCAGGGTGTCGTCTACCACTGATCTGGTCCGTAGGCATCCCCGGTCGTGCTTGTCAAGAAGGACAACACATGGATGTTTGGCGTTGATTACCAACATTTGATTGATTGATTGATTGAAGTCAAAATGACGCTCCCCAAGGTTGTCGTCTAACACTGATCTGGTCTGTAGGCATTCCCGGTCGTGCTTATCAAGGACAACGCATGGATTTTTTGCGTTAATTACCGACATCTCATGAGCTGATTGACAATGAAGGACGTTTACCCTTTGCCATGAATGGATGACCCACTCGATTGCTTTCATGGGGCAAGGTTTATTTCACTAAGTTTCCTTAGATCTGGTTATTGGCAGATCGCGTTTGACTCACAACACCAAGAAATAGACGCATTTTTAATTCCAGATGGCCTGTACCGGCCTTCGAAGTCCGTCCATTTCGGCTTTGCATTGCGCCTGCAAACTTTAGGCGCAGCTTTAATTCTCCTCTGCGCGGATTCAGGTGTCAACATGCTTACGCTACAAGAGGATGTCATAGTTTCTTTCGCCAACATTCGCATGTCATCCTAAGCGGCTCTTCACTTGAGGTATTCCGCAACGCTGGTCTAGAGCTGAACTTATCCGAATGCCATTCTGGCCATCTTGAAATAACAGTACTTCGTCACCTTATTAATGCAGCTGTATAGTTCAGCCTGATCTTGAAAAAAAACACAAAGCGACACTACTCCCCTTCCATCTTTCTGTTAAAGATCTTCCGAGCTTCCTATATAGGTATGTGCTCCTATTTGTGCCTCTTCATCCGGAATTTCGTTGTTATTGCACATCCTCTCATAGAGTTACTAAAATCTACGCATGTCCACGAAGTGAATAACGATGAGTAGGAGAACCACTGGAGATGATTCTTACCATAAATCACCCCATTGCCCATAAGCGCGTCTAAATTAGGGTCTACACGTGTGCGCAGTTTATGTACAATTGGTTGTTGCAGTCCAGCCACCGCTTCAGTGTTCTAAACTACGGGGTAGCAGCTAGTTGTTGACGTTGCCATTGGGCCGCTGCTTCCTCAGCGTTCACCTCCAGTGTAGCTTGCTGTCTGTGAACATGGTGAACACCGCATGCCGTGCTGTTGACTCCGGAATACTAGCTTGTTAGTGGTGCTGCCGCTCTGCCTTTCATGGGTGAGCGTGCTTTCACGATCGTTTCCGTTCATGGCAGAAAAAGAATGCGAGGTAGTTTCAGGGTGTTGCCCAGAAACTGGCGTTTCAAGGTAGTTGCCACGTGCAGGCGCAATACTTCCGCGCTTATATTACATCGCTATTCATGGACATGGAAAGATAAGTGCATGCCTATGGATATAGATCCATGCCCATAAGTACAGTGAACTACATGCCCACATTGAGATCTCTGGTGCGATTTGGCATGATAGCATATTTCGCGAAGTTCGAGGATGAACCGTAGCTCTTAACCGAATTACAGATGACGTTATTTGGTAGCCTGTAGATGCCTGAAATTGAGGGTCTTCCTACGTAGCCTTTGCCTTCCTCAGCTTCGATGAAAACGGCGTACTCATGGCAGCGTAGCCCGTTGCGGTGTCCCAGATATCAGTGGCGTTGTGTCATGCCACATACCGTCGGAATCACTGGTTATTATGTGGCGCGAAGAATCCGTGGCATCGGATTGCTACATGCAGCGTGTTTGAGCTCTGCTATCATCTTGCATCGTGAGATCCCCTTTATGGGGGGGGGGGGGGATCTTGTTATCAAAGGTTGGACTCGCTGGTGCTCAATTCATTCTTATTCTTCAAGATTACTGCTGAAGCTTTGTCAGCAGCAGCGCACAAAAGCAACCGCATCTCCACTGTCTGTTTCTTCTAGTTTTTTGTCTACAGGGTCACGCCTAAATAATTTCGTGTATAAATCACGCAATGAAGCCGCGCCATGGCGTCGGAGAGACATACAGGTGTCGAGGTTTCCTCAGTAACTACCATCGAGTTGGTGAGACGCGGTTGTTCACGTTCTTGTGGACGTGGCGCTTCGTAGTGGAACCGATATAGTTTCGTACAGTATCGACTAGTGGGAACTCCGGCACTGCAGTAGTTCAGCCACCATGATAAGCGTGGTGGCTGAACGTCCACAAGAGCGTGAACGTCCACTGAACGTCCACAAGAGCGTTCAAAGACACAATGGCTTTAAACGCCCTTGTGGCTGTCTTTATTGTTGCTTTTGGTGTGTCTTTCTAATAAAAGAAAAGATCGTTTTGAGCTTCGTGAGCAGACTTCCACATGTGAGCCTGAAAAATTGCGGCGGTTGATAGAAAAATTCTCTGCAACAAAGCACCTCCAGCCGGTACGGGGCCAAACGGAGCTGAAAGACCGAACCTTATGCTGAATTCTATTGACTGATTCGGAGCACTTCGGGTAGCAGTTTTCCCGCTCCATGCGCAGCAACTCTGTTCTATCGGTAGATTTACAGGGCACCCTATATGTTTTATTGGCCAATCCGGAGCAGCTTCACCACCAGATGCACTCTTTTCCGCGAAAAGCAGCACAATCGGCAGGAAGTCACAAGCGCTCTACGCATGCGCATGGCACGGCGGTGTACGTGAGAAACGGAACGCGCTGCCCAAGCGCACTTGTTCTCTCCGTCCGAAGGCGAAAACGGCCCGAAACGCTAGGATTGTTGGGTGCTTCCGGAAGTGAATGTGTGCTAGCGCCCTCTGCCATTTGTTCTGGCGTGAGCGCCGGTGTCTCAATGACAGATCTCCCTTGGCTGCTGTTCGTCAGAGCGGAGCGCTCTTCGGCGCAAATTGAATTGGTCACTCTGAATCCACCAGTGAAATTTAGCATTAACCGAATTCGTGTACTACACATCATTGTCTTACTGGCTGGAAACGCCCTGCGTTGCAGCTAGCGTATAAACCAGCGCAAGGGTTATCCTCCTGTAAGTATTGTAGGAAAATCTGTGGCGCAACCAGGCAGGCTGACCACGTGATACTCTCTATAGTGAAATCTATGACCAGCTTTAGTCTAAACTGGGAGCATTTTTTGTATCTTGGGGCATAAGACAGGATGTTCACTGTCAAAATGGCGGTCCGCGGCATTGTAGCTTAAGTGTATATAATTCAATCAGAAAATTGCTGCATTTATTCAGCTTAATTTTACTTACCCTCTGCTTGTAATAGAACCATCTTCATGGCAAGTTACTCTTACGCAAGGCATACGCAAATTCACAGTTGATCCTCGTCCAACTAGACGCCCCATAAATAGGCATCCAACTAAAGGAAGTAGAAAAATCGTGCTGTCAAGCAAGAGAGAGCATACAGAGGAAACCCTATGTTCAAATCATTTCATGTCGCGAACCACAAATCTTTGGATGATTGTGTACTGTCAGAAGTGAATGGTCAAATAACTGGTTGTGCACTTGAATTACTCCTTCTAGTCAGAAGTGTGCTGTCTATCGCATCTTGTGCGTAGTCGACGTCGTTTTTCCTCCTTACTTTTGCGGTGAAACTGAATTACGTTTCATCGAAACAGTCTATACATGCTGATCATCGAAACCGTCTATACATGCTGAAAACACGAACACATGCGAGAGACAGCACAGCCTCCAACAGCTTTATTGCAAAGGATGCAAGGAATCATGCTGTGCAATTGTACGCAGACGTAGTGAGCGCATACGAAGTTGGCACCACTTAACAGGCTATGGGCGTGTAATGTCAAAAAAAAAACACACAAATTTTTCTCTTGTACAACAGGATGAACGCATGACTAGCACAGTTATTTCCTTTTTTCTATATATGGCATGCCTACCGAAGTTCACTAGCACATTGGCCCTGGCTCCCACTTTGGATATCGTCTGACGCGTGCATTTTCGGAAGTAGTACAAAAGACGGGCACCGTCTACATTTTCTTTAGATTTTCTTCATGCTCCCTTAACTGGTCATTAGGGCAGCGGTCTGTTTGCCCGATGTACGACTCTCCGCCAGACAGCGGTACGTCGCTTCCTTGCACACATTTTACAAAGGGCGAGGTATCCTTCTTTGAGCATCTTTCCACCTTGCTTTCTGCCTTTGTTGTGCGAGGGAAAAGGTGTGAGAGCTTGCTTGTCCCCGAGAAAACAAGCGCAAAACTATACCTAGTGCCAGCCTTCTGAATGTTCTTAGAAACCTTGTGTACATAGGAGTTCAACTTCAGGTTTTAAGGGTTATGCACCTTAGGATTTATATACAAGCTTGCCCTTACTCCAGCGATGGCGATGAAGTTTGTGACAATGAAGAATAAGCGCGTTAGCACATGCAAGGTACCCGATGAGCATTGTGACCATCGAGCACTATCTTTCTGCTATGGATGAAAACGAACGTACATGGCGAGAGAAGCGGCGGCAAGCACGTAAAAAACGCCAAGTGCACGCTCAGTTGATGAACTTGTAATTCTCGGTCATTTCAGCGTGTACATCACGGACAACTACATGATTGTACAAAACATGACGTCTCGGTACGCTGTACAATGCTTTTCTTATAATTGGAAACAACCTACCACCCCAGCGGAATGTGCATAGACCTCATCTTTGCCAACCTCAGGCTATATCCGGTAGAGGAACCGCTGGCCATACATTTCACGGACTATACAGCAGTAACATTAAAAAAGAAAACAGAATCCGCCACTCAACACGGCATACCATTTATATCCCATAAACAATGTATATAACTGTACACCGCTTTGTCACTCATGTTCATGTCTGAGCGGGCAATGTCAACGGATATTTACATTAACACCGATGACACGATGACACGAAACACCACAGCTTCGGTCACTCGTCGTCATTCACTGCGTGCAGATGCCGTGACAACTTTTCCCCAGCGCTCCCACATCCGCTGTTTCACGCTTTAGTTTTTGAAGTAGGCCTTCAGCTACCACCAATATGGCCGTTCCAGGGAATCTCGGCTACAATAGTCTTCCCACAAATGTCTCTTCTAATACATGCACGCACAATTTTCTCACGGCCGATTTGAGGCAGGATGCTCCTCTTAATGAGGTTCTAGTGAGCAGAGTCATACGGTAGGAGTTCCTGTTGTGCCCTGGGAGAATCAATGCTGCAGTTGTGACCTTTACAAAGCCACGAATTGAGATCTGAAACCTCTAACGCACTACCCTGGGACAGCTCTCGCGTGAATGATGAACCTCTTCCGTACTGTTTAGAAATCTTCACCGCTAGGTCCACCCCGTTGTAGTAGGCCACTGTATTATTCTCGGTTAACATATCAAAAACTGCCCATACATATGTAAAGTTATTTTGAGCCTGATTGCTGAGAACCTGCTCAAGGCACGTGCGAATGTTAGCAGGAAAAACGAAAACGCGGCATGAGGTTGGTGCCCCACACCCCCTGATGCCTATAAACTTATCTTGCAAGAATTCTCCCTCGATAAAAATGATGACTGTGTTGCTTATGTAAACGTCAAAAAGGGCTAAAAAGTTATCTACCAGGAGTGTTGCAGTGTTATAAAAAGGAATTGCAACATTTCCTTTTATTCACGCTCTCTCGGGGCTGAAGAGGTGTTCATGGAGAACGGAATAGAATAAATCTCCTAGATTAGGGGTCGGTGACGTTTTCAAGCGCAGCGCGCAGTCTCGAGAACATCAGCGTCATGAACTCGTTAACGGCGGCCTCATCAAGTGTGACGCCCGTGGGATGGTTTTCATCTCCCATGGTAGAGTGCCAAATACTCAAAATCGTTGACCACTTTTTATAAAAACACGGACAAGTTGCCTGAATCTTACACAGTCGTGAGCCAAATGGCTATATCCCGGCTGTGGCGGCTGCATTTCCGATGGAGACGGAAACGTTGTAGGCTCGTGTGCTTAGATATTGGTGCACGTTAAAGAACCCCAGGTGGTCGAAATTTCCGGAGCCCTCCACTAGGGCGTCTCTCATAATAATGGTGGATTTGGGACGTTAAACCCCACAAATCAATCGAGCCAAATGGCTAAAAGGGGAGGGGGCGAAGGTGGGTTTTGTGGGGCAAACAAACAAAAAAATCAGGAAATCGATGTTCATTCACAGAACAGGAGTGGATAAAAGTCAAGTTTTCTTTCAGCACAACTGTCGCAAACTTCAGTGAAAGATGGGTAACAAGCGCTATTCGACCTTCCAGATAGGAAGCGATATCGAATGGGGGGATTGGTTCGACGTCGGGCCGAGGGACACATAACACTGCCCTGCGAGTCGCAGGTTGCTGACCCCTGCCCTACATTGACATAAAAAGTTATCCAAGCACTCGTTAACTCCATATTTTACATTTTCGTAATTTCTGGTATAGAAGGTGTCCTCAATTTGAAGGTTGCAAAGTGTACGTAAAAATATTTTAAAATCATTTTGCTGCCAGGTGCATCGTTCACTTACGGTCGTGCCAAAGGGCACTTTAGGTTTGTGCGTTTTTACGCTGAAAAAATGGTGAAAGTTCCACCTTTACCATAATTTATTTATTTAGCTAGTCTTCCGAAAATAAATCTTCTGCAAAGTGTTTCTACGTCAGCTTTTGCTTATGACATGCTCGTCCTGACGCTATTGATGTTTTCGGAAAATGCCCAAAGACCTTTTTCATTGCACAAACCTTGCGATAAATCGACAAACCCGCAGTCTTTATCAACCTGTAGCTAGGGCAAGTCATTGTCTCTAATATACGTTGCCACATTATCTATAGACGCCTTTTCGCATGACAATTTGCATTTCCATATGTAGTCTTAACATGGTGGTCTACATCTTCTATAGTATGCACAACTTTTGGTTCTCACAAGGATTTTTCTCTGCGATGTTTAGCTGCAAGTTCATGCGCAGTAACACTGGGTCCTAAACTAGACTTACAACTTTTATTCAACAGGTTTTCATTATTAGCATAGATAGGGGCGTCTCTAGACCCTAAACTATCTCTAGAACCAAATTATCTCTATAAAAAGCTTTTTTGTTTGCTTGGACTTTTGAAGGCATTGCCTAAGGAATGCCTGCCACGAATACTCTGTCAGGCAGGCTTTAAGTAATATAGTGCGACAGAGTTTGATCTCCACATTTCGTCGCGGATCAGGCGAAAAAAATATCACATGAAGCCAGCTCGTAATCAATCGAACTTGCTAGGACCGTGCCGATTGAAGTGTCTCCTTCACACATTTCACATGGATCCAGGATGGGGAAACGCCTGCCCTGTCTCTTAGCGGGGTTCGTCCTTTTTAGCTGAAAAATCACCATGTAATGTAGCCATCAACTCACTCAACAACAAGTTATTACGTATATAGCATCATTTTCTACGTCAATCACATGAATTTTCATGAAGATTGGGAAAGTAAAAGACACTAGCACACATTGCTTGCTTGTGTCTGGTGAATATCCGTTAAAGATACACAGATATTACCACGCCTTCCGCAGAGACATGCCGCTCTCTTTTTGAATTAAATAATAAAATAACAAATGGATAAAAATAAATAAGCCCACTACCACACAATTTTCGCCGGTGTCTGCAAAGCCAGAGCTACTTCGTCTGCTCCCTCATCTCTCAGCGCCATTTCCTTTTCACAGTGCTAAGTGGCCAGCGTGCTCTGCCTCTTTGACTACCCTGCTTGTCTCTCATGGCCTTACTTCTCTTTTACATATGGATACTGTTGGCTGGAATTAGATAAGGTTGTTTGAGTTGAATGAGAAGGCGCACAAAGTACTCTGACTCAAATATTTGATAGAAAGCCACCAAGAGAGTGAAAATGAAAAATATTCTCTTATTATGATTTACACCATAACGATAAGATATCAGCATAGTGATAAAGTTTGTGAATTCATATTGGAGCGGATTTGAATTTCACTGCCCTTTTTTCTTGTTTCCAGGAGTGCGCTATATTAAGTAGGACGCGGCAACCTGAAAGCACTCGGCAGTCTATTCTCTTTTACAGCAGCGCAATCGACCACAGGTATCTCGAGTGTAAACGCGAACAGCAGACATCTTTGAGGTGTCGCAGTCGAAAGGATAACAAAGTAATTTTATTCCTTTACTTACGTCTGTGTTCTCTTTGTGGGCAGCGAGGATCGTAGAACTGTCCTACAACAGAAATAGCACATGCTGCTGCGAGAATGACAAATGCCGAAATCATTACTCGTGATTCGTGGTTGCACTATTCTGTTTGGTACCTGAAAGAGACAGGGTGCCACTGGTTTAAGGGCACCATCCTTCAGTATCTCTACAAGAACTGGCATAACTCTCGCACATAGAGCAAAAGTTTGAAATATGGTTCCGTTCTAGAAAAATAAATGCTGCTCATGAGTAAAACAACATTGGTAAAAGAGAGGCATCTGACCCGTTATAACTTGGGGCGCACCGGTGAGGGCAGAGATTTCTTCATCCAATTCATAAAGTAGTCAATACAGCCAGCCATGTGGTGCACATCACGATTTGTGTTAGAATAACGTGTTCAAAGAGAGAGCGCCATGCGTCATACAACTCGTGGCACGACTCAGTCACAAGTGGGGAGTAATTATATTCATTATAATTGAAAATTGATCATTTGGACGAGTAGCATTCGCGTTTGAATTCATGCTGTACGTGCAACTACGACAATGTTCAACGGTGAAGAGAACATGCCATTACTCACAATCATTTTGTATCACAAGAACAATTCGTATTATATAAAAGGAAACTTCAATAACAACAACCAACGCATTGCACTGGTATGCTCAGTTTCGTAACGTAGTAACTACAATTTATGCGTGCTCGTGAAGTGTTTGAGCACATCATTACTCAGGGCGATGTACGGCTGCCTGTCACACCCACCACGTTTCCTTGTAATCCAGCAATTCTCGGTCACTGCCATTGCAAGCTGATTTCTGCAGCCTGAAAGGCTCGCTGTTTTTTCCGCCCCATCCCCATTGTCTGCGATGGGCAGCAAGATAAGGGAAATGTGCACGAAAGTTTGGAAAATAAGCGGTAAAATATCCAAATCTACTTGTTGTTGGTGGTCATCGCACAGATTCTGATGCGAAGCGAGTGTTGAAATTTTGTCATTTCAATGAAGTAGTTAGTACAGGAGATGAAGGTAACACAAATCAACTTGAGAAAACTATGCGGAACTTATTTATTCACTTATAAGCCTTGTGAGGAGGTTTATTAGCCGTTAAAGCCAGCGACGAGACAGCGTCAAGAACCGTCCAGCGATCGGCACAGCAACGAACCGAAGCACGAGCCGAGAGAGCCAGGCGCTGGCGATGCTGCTTGCTGCAGGCACATCTTCTTCTTCACAATCGCCCCCGCTGAAAAAGGAGCCATCCTGGCGACTTAAGAAGATTCAGGCAAAGGCTCATGGTACGGTTTCAGTCGGGAAACATGGACGATGTCACGTGCCCGCCGGCGCATGTCGTCCGATCGGGAAACTGGTTCAATTAGGAAATTAACCGGAGAGGTTTTCTCCAAAACGGTGTAAGGCCCCTCCTACCGGGGGACAAGTTTCGAGGAGAGTCCCGGTGTTTGGTATGGGATGGCAAGCCACACAAGAGACCCTGGGGCATAGTTAGGATCCGGAAGAGAGGTGCTACGGGTTTCTTTCTGGCGTTGTTGTTCTTCCGAGGTGAACGCACGGGCGAGCTGGCGGCACTCTTCGGCTTGTCTAGCAGCATCGGAGATAGGTGGACACTCGGAAGCATCAGGACGGTAAGGAAGTAGGGTATCAATTGTATGGGAAGGCTCACGTCCGTAAAGAATAAAGAAAGGTGAGAATCCCGTGGTGGTTTGTATTGCGGTGTTATATGCGAACGTGACGTATGGGAGAACACGGTCCCAGTTGCTGTGATCAGATACCACGTACATTGAGAGCATATCACCTAGCGTGCGGTTGAACCGTTCTGTTAGTCCGTTAGTCTGCGGGTGGTATGCTGTCGTTTTCCGATGAATGACGTGGCATTCCGAAAGCAGAGTTTCGACGACCTCGGAAAGAAAAGCGCGGCCTCTGTCACTAAGGAGCTCTCGAGGTGCACCATGTCGAAGGATAAAGCGTTGCAAAATGAAAGAGGCGACATCCTCAGCTGTAGCGCTCGGCAAGGCGGCTGTTTCGGCGTAGCGTGTCAGGTGGTCGACCGCCACTATAATCCACCGATTACCATGTGGTGTCAATGGAAGGGGACCGTATGGGTCAACGCCGACGGGATCAAATGGCTTGGCAGGGCATGGAAGTGGCTGCAATGCGCCAGTCGCACGTGGCAGTGTTGATTTACGTCGCTGGCAGTCAGGACAGCACTGCACGAATTTACGTACAAAATTGTACATGCCGCGCCAGTAATAGCGATGGCGAAGGCGTTCATATATTTTGAACACTCCGGCGTGGCCACATTGCGGATCGTCGTGAAGGGAGGCGCATACTTGCGATCGTAAAGTGCGTGGAATGACCAGCAACCACCGGCGGCCATCGGGAGCGTAGTTGCGTCGATGAAGAAGTTGATCGCGGATGGCGAAATGGAAAGCTTGACGTCGGAGAGATCTAGATACTGGAAGGTTGGGCGTGCCAGATAAATATTCGATAAGAGAGGCGATCCACGGGTCACGACGTTGTTCGGTGGCAATCGAGTCGAGATTTAGCGATGACAAGGTCTGGAGGCAAGTGTTTCCGCACGTCTGATCTGGTGGTAAAGGTGAGCGGGACAGGGCATCAGCGTCAGAGTGTTTGCGTCCGCAGCGGTATACGACGCGAATGTTGTACTCCTGGATGCGGAGTGCCCATCGCGCAAGGCGGCCAGAAGGGTCTTTCAATGTGGAGAGCCAGCAAAGCGCGTGGTGATCAGTTACTAGATCGAACGGGCGGCCGTATAAGTACGGCCGGAACTTTCCAAGCGCCCACACCAGAGCCAAACACTCTTTTTCTGTCACGCTGTAATTAGTTTCGGCTTTCGTCAGAGTGCGGCTAGCGTAGGCTACAACGTATTCTGAATAGCCGGGCTTTCGTTGAGCGAGGACCGCGCCTAGCCCGACGCCGCTGGCGTCGGTGTGCACTTCGGTAGGAGCCGTCGGGTCGAAGTGGCGAAGAATAGGTGGGGAAGTGAGCAGCCGGCGCAGAGTAGTGAAGGCAACGTCACATGCAGGAGACCAGGAGGTGAGGTTCACGTTACCGCGAAGAAGCTGGGTTAACGGTGACATGATAGATGCAAAATTGCGAACAAAGCGCCGGAAATAGGAGCATAGGCCTACAAAACTGCGAAGTTCTTTCATGGTCGTCGGCTTGGGAAATTCTGCGACTGCTCGAAGTTTTGCTGGGTCTGGTAATACGCCGTGCTTGGACACGATGTGGCCTAGGATGACGAGCTCGCGTGCAGCGAAGCGGCATTTTTTTAGGTTAAGCTGCAGGCCAGCGTTGGTCAGACAACTCAAAACGTGCCTGAGGCGAAGGAGGTGCGTAGGAAAGTCATGGGAGAAAACCACGACATCGTCGAGGTAACAGAGGCACATATTCCATTTGAGGCCACGTAGCGTATTATCCATAAGACGTTCAAACGTGGCAGGCGCGTTACAAAGCCCAAAGGGCATGACGTTAAATTCATATAGTCCGTCTGGTGTAATAAATGCCGTTTTTTGGCGATCGGCTTCTGACATTGGGACCTGCCAGTAGCCAGACCGCAAATCTAGCGACGAGAAAAATTCCGCTCCGTGGAGGGTGTCAATGGCGTCATCAATGCGCGGCAAAGGATAGACGTCCTTGCGGGTTATCTTATTCAAACGACGATAGTCCACGCAAAATCGGATAGATCCGTCTTTCTTACGCACCAGGACGACGGGAGACGCCCAGGGACTGTGAGATGGTCGAATGACGTCTCTACGAAGCATATCTTCGACTTGATCGTTGATGACGCGGCGCTCTTCAGCGGAGACACGGTATGGTCTTTGACGCAGTGGCTGGTGTAGGCCGGTGTCAATATGATGTTTGACTTGTGATGTGCGGCCCAGTTGAGGTTGCGACACATCGAACGAACTCCTGAACTCATGGAGAAGATCCAGCAGGTCGGCATGTTCGGTGGGAGTGAGAGTGTCGGCGATGGCGCTTGAAAACGTATCATTGGACGACTCCCCGAGTGCCGACAGTGCTTTTGGGTGGTCGCAGTAGTCGTCCGGGACATAAAACAAAAATGAAGGGTCGAGATCCTGCACGCGGCCGAGACATTCCCCCGCAAGCAATGTGACAGGTGTGGAAAGCGGATTCCTTACGAACATGTTGCTTCTTCCGGCGGCAAGGTCAATTGTTGCGAAAGGCAGCGGCAAAGCTCGACGACATTTGAAGATATCGGAAGGCATAAAAAGAACTGTAGCGTCAGTGTAGGCGTTGCATGAAACGGGAACAAGGGCGAAATTTCCAGGCGGAATATCGGTATCTTCATGAACGAGCAACTTCGGCGGCTGATGAGGAGCGTCCAGTAATGGGAAATCACACAAGGGCGAAAACTCAACTTCGGCGCGTGCGCAGTCAATGACGGCATTATGGCGGGATAGGAAGTCCCACCCGAGGATGACGTCATGCGAACAGACAGGAAGAACAATAAACTCCACGATGTAAAGAATGCCTTCGATGGAGACTCTTGCAGTGCAGGCTGCGAGAGGCGTTACTTGCTGTGCGCTTGCGGTGTGAAGTGACAGTCCCGAAAGCGGCGTCGTTACTTTGCGTAATAAACGGCAGAGATTAGCGGCAATAACAGAAACAGCGGCGCCAGTGTCCACAAGGGCGAAAGTACAATAACCTTCAACAGTTACTGCGACCACGTTAGCAGGAGAGGAGCGAGGGCTTAGACAGTTCGAAAACGGCGCAGTTCTTGCCTCTTGAACTGCGTTGCTTAGTTTTCCTGGTCGGAGGGTCCGGGCCGGCGACGCATGGGGGAGGGCGATCGCCGACGAGGAGAGGGTGCGCGTTGCGGCTGGAAGTCAAGGTGGTCAGTAGGCGCATAGCGAGGTGGCGAGACCGGCCCGTATTGGACGAAAGGTTGGCTGCCGGGATGCGACGACCGGGCATAGTTGCCGAACGTCTGAGGTCGACGGCGGCAGTAGCGAGCGACGTGTCCGGGAGTGAAGCAAGCGTAGCAAATCGGTCGGTTATCGGGCGTCCTCCAGGGATTGGCGACTGGTGCTGCCGCCCAAGGTGCAGTATAAGCAGCCGGGTGTGCGGGCTGTGAGCGCGTGGTGTAGGGTGGATGCGGGAGCCTACGTACAGCGTCTGCATATGTGAGCGGCGCGGCTACGGGCTGCATCTCTTGCGAAAAGGCGACAGGCGGAGCCACAGGCTGCGTTGCATAGGTGAGGGGCGCGGCCACAGGCTGAACGGCTTGCGGATAGGCGACAGGAGGGCCTACCGGCTGAGCAGCACGCTGGCAGTGGGCAAGGCTGGATAGAGGTGGCTCGTGGTGCGCAACAGGAACAGCTTGGGCAACCTCCTCCGAAATAGCAGTGCGAAGCGGGGCAGGTAGACGGGTGGTGGTCTCGTGAGTGAAGGGCACAAGGGAAAGTTGGCGGGCGACTTCCTCACGGACGAAGGCTCGAACTTGCTGAAGCAGTGGTGAATTGTCCGGCAGGGTGTCGAAACTGGACAGTGACTCACCACCATGCTGAGGCTGCTGAGTCAGAGTGCGTTGTTTCTTCAACTCGTCGTAGCTCTGACACAAGCTGACGACTTCGGAAACTGTGCTTGGATTTCTTGCCAATAGCATCTGAAATGCGCCGTCGTCGATGCCCTTCAGGATGTTTTTGACCTTGTCAGATTCGGTCATGGTGTCATTCACACGTCGACAAAGGTCGACGACGTCCTCAATATAACTGGTAAAGGTCTCGCCAGTCTGCTGAGAGCGGACGCGCAAGCGCTGTTCTGCCCTCTGCTTGCGGACAGCCGGCCGACCGAACACTTCAGCACATGACGTCTTGAAGACGCTCCATGTGGGGATGTTGTGTTTGTGGTTATTAAACCACAATTCGGCGACGCCAGTGAGATAAAATATCACGTGGCCCAGCTTGTCGGCTTCATCCCACTTATTGTTGGCGCTCACCAGTTCGTAGTGCTCCAGCCAGTCTTCGACGTCGGTCCCATCCGCACCGCTGAAGACCTTCGGCTCCCGTAGTTTAGGATGGCCAGGGCAGTTGAACTGGAGCGATGGCGTCGATGTAGTGGCGTTGGCAGTCATGACAGGTGGTAGCGTGCGGCTTCGCAGCTCCAGGGTGTAGCAACGGGGATTAACAGCACCTTCCACCAAATGTGAGGAGGTTTATTAGCCGTTAAAGCCAGCGACGAGACAGCGTCAAGAACCGTCCAGCGATCGGCACAGCAACCAACCGAAGCACGAGCCGAGAGAGCCAGGCGTTGGCGATGCTGCTTGCTGCAGGCACATCTTCTTCTTCACAGCCTATTTATTTAGTTATTTGGTTTGAGCAAATAAAAATACGAAGAGAGAGGAACTACGGAGAGAACAGGCTCACAACTGCCGCCTATAGGGGCAACACGCCTGCCGGCTTCTTCGAGAATGGGAGGCATAGAAGAAATAAGGGAAGAAGGAAGGAGAGAGAAGCGGTTCTCTCCGATATCAAGAAGACTTTTCGGGCCAAATAAATGACGAGATGAATGTCATGAAGTCGCTGTTTTAACTGGATCATAGTGTCCGCGATCAATGAAACGTGGGACTACCTGACCACCTTGCGCATGGTGCCATCTGTCGACAACCCCGCAGGTGCCGTGGGCAACTTGTCTAGCGCGCAGAGAAGAAATAATCAAAATTCCAGTGTTAGAGCTCCTATGGACTTAGTTTTTGCTGGTTTTTGCGTCGCAGTGCACACAGCGACGAAGCCGTAGCAATAAAGCCACCATGGTAAGTTTGCTTCAGATCAAGTGTTCAAGAACTTGAGGGAAAAAAAAAAGACGCTGAGAACTTGTGTCATCACATGGTTGGTATTATGTTTTCGTTCAGAAGCAAAATCTGCGTGCTGTTCCGTCATTTGCTTTCGCTATTCAAAACAAAAACAATGCCTTACTTGCGATAAACTTTTTTCTAATAAAGTATCTCTCTTTTGCGATATTGACTTGATTAAGTGAAAATTTATTAACATTCTTTGAATGTGGGAATCTTACAGGCAAAGTGTTACATGCCCCATCAAATGCGAATAGTGAAACTCGGCGTCCAACACTAGTAATGCAAAGAAAATATTCATTACAAGTTGACACTCTTAGCCGTAATGATAACATCCCCCATCACCTGAACTGGTCTTCCTAACGACTTCACAATGACATTGTACAAAGGGACGTCACATCGTGAGGTCATCGCACGATACCTTTGCTTGGTCAAAGGCTGGCCGCTGAAACACCAGGTGAGGTTGAAATTGCTTTCTAAGCTTCACATCCAGGTGCCTGCCCGAAACCACATTTGGTGCGCTTATGAGGACGGTGAGGGGAAAGGGAGAAGGGACAAATACAAGATCGACTGAAAAGATAAAGAAGGTGGTTCTCGCTTTCAAGTTGTCTTAAGTGAACTTACAAGATCCCACGTGTGACTTTTTTAGACTGAAGAAGATTGTACTCGGTGGTTTCGCCCGGTGACGTTTCTCGGAGATGAAACTGATTGTTCACGGGTTCACAAGAATACTCGATGATTTATATTCGCCCGAATAACAAGAATCTCTGCCACAGCTGCTGCTGCTGCACATCTCTGCAAAGAAACATTCTTATGTGAACGCTTATGTCAGAATATAATTACAGAAACGTGTAACCTTGCACATTCGTGACGTAAAGCGTGGAGCTATTTTCAGTGCTGCCAGAAGATTTGCCTTAGAAAGCTCGATTTTCTTGTATTGTTTTTCAATTTTACCTAAGTAGCGAGAACTGCCTCTATTCCCAACCCTCTTCGGCATGCAGCGAGCATAATGCTGCCATGTTCCTTCTAACCCAAGAGATTTACAAAGCCACATACGTTCAAGCACATTCGCCAGCCACCTTTCAGGGGAAGGTAGAAAAATGTGATGCGCAATTCAGCTTCTGCTGATTTACCCGTATTTGGTGAGTGAGGGACGCTTCCCCCGCTGTATTGCGAGGTGCAGCAAAGGCACCAGCATGAACTTGACTACCGGAAACGATCGTTACTCCACTGTATTGATTGGTGGCGCTTCAGTGAAAGTCACTAGTTCACTAAATATAGGAAAAGTATCTGTGGATGTTAGGACTTACAACCACTCAAAACACGAATGAAGGTATCTCCTCTAATGCAAAGATTTTCAGCTGCATTGTGTAAATCCAACTCTGTTTTTTTTTCATTACACGTGGATTATTGTTTCTTTTTTCTTTATTCAATATCGCTTTTGGTGCCTCAGGCGGCAAAACAGGGAAGTTGTATTTGATAGTGTGCACGGGACTTCAACTGGTGTACGCTAATTGTTGTCTCTATATTATGGTTGAAATGCGGTGCACTTTATGATATTTTGCAACTTTGAGAATTTGCAAATTATGATATTTTTGCAGCCTAATATGGGCGAATATTTTTTTTGTTGGTACTAAGAAAAACAGTGGCTCCACCTTCGCTTGGTTTTGATTGATATGTGGGGTTTAACGTCCCAAAACCACCATATGATTATGAGAGACGCCGTAGTGGAGGGCTCCGGTAGTTTCTACCACCTGGGGTTCTTTAACGTGCACCCAAATCTGAGCACACGGGTCTACAACATTTCCGCCTCCATCGGAAATGCAGCTGCTGCAGCCGGGATTTGAACCCGCGACCTGCGGGTCAGCAGCTGACCTTCGCTTGGTGGCTCCGATGATCCGTTGCTAAGGTGTGGCAGCATGAACGTTGTTACCGCAGAGCGAGGTGGCAGCTGTCGACGAGCTGAATTAAGAAAACTGTTCTGTTCTTTTCTGTTTTAACTGTTTTGCTGTGGAGAGGTTGAGGTGCCTATTGCCTCGGCTACTCCGTATCACAAAGTTCTCCAGCGAAAAATAAAATAATAATACAGAACGGTACCCAAAAATAACAACACGGAAAAGAAAAAAAAACATAATAGCACACTGAAACCAGTTCAAATATCATGCCAATACACAGTTTTCTTCACGCAGTTCACACAGTCATAAACTATTTACACGCACACCTTACTATTCTACTGTCAGTATATACATGACCAAATTTTATATATGCCCGTCTCTGGCTGTCTGTCATAGGCGTTTGTCCAGTCCGGTCTCCACTAAAAAGTCTGTCAGGAAGATTATTGCCTTTTTCTGGAAATGCATCTCCGGCCATGGTCCAAGTAGTTTCTTTATTGTGAAGGGCCGTCTGTCCAAACTCGCTAATTCGTTCTTTAATTTTTCTCTTTCATTCGCGTATTTAACGCACTCCAAAAGAATATGGCAAACATTTTCTTCTGCATGACCACAATGGCGTTCCGGTGAGTTGAACCGATGTATCTTGTGCAGGAAGCTGTGTGCAGGAAAACTGCCGCACGGCCTCCGCCATATACTTCCTGCAACGCGTTGCTGGAGCTAATCGGGGAGGCCACGCACGTGTGGCTCGCGAGGTGGTAAATGAACTTGACGTGATGACGAGTGTTTCTACTTGATTTCAGGGGCGAAACTCCGTATTGTCGAGTCATGCCTGTTAGCGGTGGTGTTGTGAGCCGTACGTGCCGCTAGTGACGATGACTGTGACATTGATGATGCTGAAGAGCAAGCGAGTTCCAGAAAACACGTTCTGTTTACGTCATCATGGCACAGCACATGCGAGCCACCCACTATACGTCTTGACGATGACGATTATGCTGATGATGATGATCATCACGGACAGTGACTACTGGCTTGTGCAGTAGGTGACGTCTCGATGTGCTCAATTACAATTTCGTATGACTAGAAACAACTAAAAACCACCAGGAGAACTTGCACAGACCTCGTCTTTGCCGGCTTCAGGCTAGATCCGATACTAGAGAGCAGTAATAATAAAGGCAAAACGAAATTCACAACTCAATGCAAAATACCATTTGTGACCAATAAACATTGTATATAAGTTTACACCACATCGTGGCTCATTTATGATGTCACGGGGTCGTGACGTGGCCGAAGACAGGAGACTTCGTGTTGGGATTTAACTGTTTATTTGGGCGAACCTGTGCCCGGTAAAAGGAAAGTCCAATTACAGCAGCAGTCTCGCACAAATAGCAGTCTCGGACTGATAGCGGCGAACGGAGCGTCGGCCTTCGATCAACAACTGACAAGCCGCGAAGCGCGTCGGCATTTATACTCTTGCCGTCGAATGTTCTAGCGTTATCGCTGGCGGTGGCGTAGGTTCCAGAACAATCTGTACCGCTCGCACAGTGGGCGTGATCTTATCGAAATGATCTACTACAGTCCAGAACCTTCTCGAAAACTGCAGGCGCGGTTTGCGCTGAGAATCGTGTGGTGTTTTGGGACGATAACAAAAACTTTGGAAATGGAACGTGGCAATATGCGTAAGTGTTCAAAGCCACCGTTGAGCTACGGTAACTCAGAATGATACGACAGCGTCGCCCACTCATTATCATTCACTTCGTGAAAATGGCCGTATATTTTTTTATGTTCAAAAACAGTTTGAAAGGTCAACGCTGTGAGTATGATAATCCGCAGCTTCTCACGCTCTGGCGAACACAGTATTCTCAGTGTAATGAACACTTTGCGAGGAGTTCAAACGAAACCTAAACTTAGACCGTAGAGCTTCCTCGTCATTCCCATCACTCTAAGCGGTCATTATTCCAACGTTTATTGAAGGAAATAGCTTACGTAATACACAGCAATGTTTCCCGATCACACTGAGACGTAAGTGTGGCATATGCTCGATATTGAGAATGATGCCATTCGTAGCTCTTCTAAAACCGTTGCTTAACATTGAGACATACTATGAAAGAAGTTTTGACGTACGATTAGGCAGATTATAGCTCCAGAGGGCAAATTTCTTCCTACAAACGAGTTCTTGGAATTTACTGTTGGAGCCGTGCAGCTAAATACGGTCATGACGTGTAGAAACCAGAGGTCGGCCTGGCAAAAATAATGATGGAAAGCACACTGTGGCAAGGCTCCACTTTGTCCCGCTATTGTTAATGAATGCACAATTTTATCTATGGCTAAATGTATATGCCGGTATCAAGGGTCCCGTACAGTAATCGAATAACGGGACGTAATATAAACCGAGCTTATTTAATGGTTCTGTTTTATAGTTCAAATGGCACCTGAGCAGCACCTCAAGCGTTCTTCGCTCTTCAAACATAAATTTGCGCCATCTCGCACAAATATCTCTGTTAGTTCAATGAGATTCAAGTGATGTAATGAGGGTTGCTGCTGTTAGCAAAATTTCCGGTTGGAACGCGTGACCCGATCCACGTTTGTGCGACACCCGACAGCCCATGCGCAGTCTCCCATTTGTGGTAGGCCAAAGCCGTGTGGAGGTGCTTGCTGGCACTTTCCTTTCGTTGACAACAGGCATGAGTGGAATATCCGATCGGACAAAAGAGAGCCGCTTTAGCAGTCAAAAAGCCATCGAAGAAAAAGAAAACTGTTGAGGGAGCAATGATGGAACAGTGTCGGATGCATCGTTTTTGAGAGAAATTTCCCATGATTCTTGGCATGGCTTCAGTGCCGGAATTTCCCTGTGATATCAGCTGGCCGTAGACAGACAATATGTTACACTTAGTCGTGTAATCGATCGTGTGGACTAAATTTCATAAGGTTCCTAGTTTCTGTAACCTTATTTCGTATTACATGTTCGGTGTGTTAATATAGCATTCATTGATGCGACCTTGCGTCGAATGTGTGACGGCTACTTATAATATTTACTTACAAGTTTTATTTAGTGTATGAACTTAAAACTATATCGGCATTTTCGAACGTAATACCCTACAGTTGAATTGTTTATTCGTGATAAATTTTAGTTACAGTGGTAGTGTAATCGTCTTCGCACTTGTACTTGGAAACACAGCGCTCCCTGAAGGTACCCTCGCTTAGCTGATTGGCCAACCGCAGGTCGCGGGATCGAATCCCGGCTTCGCTGGCTGCATTTCCGATGGAGGTGGAAACGCTGTAGGCCCGTGTGCTCAAATTTGGGTGCACGCTAAAGAACCCCAGGTGGTCTAAATTTCCGGAGCCCTCCACTACGGCGTCTCTCATAATCATATAGTGGTTTTGGGACGTTAAACCCCACATATCAATCAATCAGTTCTGCAGAGGCTGGGCCAAATGCGTGTCTCGTTTACGCAGTAGTTTATTTGCTTGGCTGAAATTTACGTATACCTCCAGAAAACAAGTTGCTAATAGCTATGGTGCATGAAGACACGGCCAGAAACGCCCCCAAATAAACACACTCATGGACGCGCGCGCACACAAACGCACGCA